TTGTTTGACAAGGAGGCTGAAAAAATTGTTTTAAGTCCAGTCCACAAATTAATGGAACTCGAGAAAAAGGTACGACTCTTACAGATTACTAACGACAACTACTATATAATGCCTTTAAACTAAAATGACCATATACAAAATGTAGGAAAACGGCAAAGAAAAGGTGCTGCAACGATTGGAGCATTGCGTTGTGTAGACACCCATTTGTGTCTCCCCAAAACCAGACCCGGTGATGAGTATCTTTCACGTCGAATCATAATCGAATGAAACGAAAGTGTGGAAAGGTTTAGTGTTGCGGAAAGTTTTATTTCTTTTCTCTTCTCCCTGTTTTGGAAAACTTTATTTTAAGAAAACAGCCAATCCAGTTTGGTTGGTCCATGATATAGGTCCAATAGTGGTGTAGTTGGATGGGGCTTGCAAAGACCTTTCAAACGATATATTATAAGCCCAATTCCGATAAATATTGAGGAAGTTATGGCCAATTTACTAAACTGGGCCCGGTTTGAGCTTTATATGTGGCCCAATGATCTAGGGGAGGGCCTAATGTGATTTATCATTCCTAATGCAATTAGGAATGGTTTTAGTCTTCTAGAATCTTCTAGAAGGTTCTTTTCATTCCTAATTCAATTAGCATTGATAAGTTGACTTTTCAGAGTTTTAATCAAGATCAAATAGTATTTTCGAAGAAATTATATTATTTTATCTTCCAGTACGGTAAATTTATGAGATTTTCGAAAACGCGTTGAAAGCCAGTTTGGCGTCCAACCCCAGGCCTTGGCGCCTGGAACCAGGCTTGGCACCAGGCGCTAGCCATTGGCGCCTGACGCTAGCCACTGGTGCCTGGCGCCAGCTAGCCAGGGTTGGCGCCAACCTTGTTTATCTTTTTTGGCTGATTTTCTCTATAAATATCGTATTAAAAACTCCGTTTTCATTCACTAATTCACCAATATTCACAAATTCACCAACTCTCATCAAGGTTTTCTTGATTATTCTCTCTCTTTTCTAAACTTTGTTTTCACATACAAAATTCCGCATTCACAAGATCAAGATACACCTAGCCATATTCGAAGTTGCCTTCGCCCTAGGCGTGAAAGGTTTAATTTCTGAGGGTTTGGTCCCAAATCTCTATTTCAATTATTTAATTTGATTGTTTTGATTATTATTTTCCTTGAAGTTACTAACGTGTGTATTTTGTTATTAGAAAGAGGTACGAAGCATCAAAGTAAGTCCTTTAATTGATTAATTGATATTATGATGTAGAAATCATGTTTATATTGTTATTATGATATTCCTAGTATCATGTCTAGGGTAATTTTAATATTAAATATGATTGTTGTGATGCTTCCTATGCTCTTCCTAATATTTATGATTGTTAGTATCATGTTAGGGTTAAAGATTTGATTTTTATTGCTTAGTGACATGCTAGGGTTTGTTATTAATCTTGTTAGTATCATGCCTAGGATCTTGCTATTTTTATTATGCTTTAATATTAACATGAACACGATTATGATTATAATTGTTATAATTTATTATTATTTTGATGATGATTATTTTATTTTATGATTATTATTATTATTATTATTATGATATGATTATTATTATTATTCTTCATGATTATTATTGATTATTTATTATGTTGCTTGATACATTATTTATTCTTTATTGCTTGATCACACCTTTGATGCATGTTTAAAGGGAATTGGTACTTGTAATCATGCTTAATAAGATAATTAATAATCTTTTTTAGGGTTAATTTGATTATAAATTCCAGTGATCGCCAATAATAATTTATTTGTGCATTATATTCAACCAACATAGATTAAACAGGTTTAGGGTTAATCCTATTGATTGCATGTTAATCATAAAGCGCACATGAATACGATCAGAATAAAGTAGAGGCCTATTATTAGGGCAGGTTCAATCTCTTTTAGGTTGGATTTGTACCTTCATCCCCGGACCCTTATTTGGTTCATGACCTTATGGAGTTGACGATCTCTTGGATCGTTAAGGGGTGTAACCTTCATCCTATGAACGGTTTACAAGTTCCTTAAAAACTTGTTGGCGACTCTTTTGCTCTATCTTCTTACCTTTTGGACGCCACCGTACTTTAGTGTATGATCACAGTGGGGTTCAAGCTAGTGGGATTTTTAAAGGCTTGAAATTATTCCCTACACATTGGCAAACAATTCGTTTTCAAGGTCAAGCTAAGCACAACAAGTAACATAACTGAACTCATTTGCCAAAAGACGTACGACATCAACTACAAATTAGAAAAGGCTTACCAAGAGCAACAACATCAAAACCAGGTCTGTTGAAACATATTTACACATGACATTACCCAAATCTAATACCTACACACTAATAAAATAATTGCAATTTGCAGGAAGCCATCACACACCAAGCAGAACAAGTTGAGGATGACAACACGGGAATTATTGAAACCCAAACAACTCCAAAAAAGAGGAATCGAGATGAGATGTAAGTCAAACATCTCAACACGATGAATAACAATTACTGAAAAATGACCCACAATAACAAGGAAAACGTAATCTTTGAAATATATGGAGAACGAGAAAAAAGATGGAGCATCAACAACCCAAACAGTTGTAGCAGCTGAATAGTAAATGGAACACAAAAATGCCCAAAGAAACAACAAGCGCAGAATGAAAGAAAAATTAGAGGAGCATAATCAACAACTTGCAAAGAATGGAGCATTACATATTGTTTTCCAATACTTTGTGTTCAAAAGATAATCTTTATCAAATTTAAAGACCAAAAATAATAATGTTATTTCAATTTGGTAGAAAGAAGCTTTTTAAAAAAATCAAAACATTTGCTATATCAAAAAAAGTATTATTTACCAATACTTTGTGTTCGAAATATAATCTTTAGCAACTTTGAAATACAAAAAAAATGACGACCAAGCCATTTGCACGAACAAAAAAAATTATTAAAAAAAAAACAAACAAAACCAAACCAATCGCTATTGTCTTCCAACACTATCTGGCCGAACAATATCTATAACAAATTTGGAATACACAACACCATAATGGACAAAACAATTGCTCAATAAAAAAACAAAAGCAAAGCAGTAACCCGGGGCATCGCCCGGGTGACACACTAGTTTTTATTTTATAATGAAATTTAGATGGGATCCTAGACTAACTTTGTGAGAATGGAGTCGCGCCCATTCTTGCATCGCGCTAAACTTTTATTTTAAATGGTCATTTGGGACCAAAATGATTTGGTGAATTGGACAACCTCGTCTATTGCTTACTCCAAATTAAATTAATTAAATTAAATATAAAGAGTCAAGTGTTTGGAATTGATTAGTAAGTATGTTGGGTCAATTAAATTGTTTAAGTGTGAAGTCTTGATTAATGAATTCGAGTTGTATGTTTATATACTTTAATTAGTTGAGCATGCTAGGTTTTGTGCGTTGTAGCTTGTATATATGTACTCAGCTTTGCCGATTGCGTGCTTTTGTGTGTTTTTTTTTATCATGCCCTTCGCCTTTCAATGACCCTGTGATGATCCAATTATTACACTTGTATTATTGGGGAACCGTATGCACAGGTAAGCTTGATGATGTGAAGTTCGAGGATTTGACATACACATTGTCAAGGGATTTGTGTGATTGAGAGTATTCGTTCTTTGTGTTGAACTTATTTATGTTTTACTATTTTAATTATGTTTTGGGATTTTGAATATTGGTTTGGTTTGATAAGGGCCATTATGGTTCCAATTTGTAAGCTTTGACTTATTGGTTTTCTAAATTATATTATTTTAAGTTTGAGTTGGATTTCCGCTGCAATACTTTGATAAAGCCTTAACGTTTTAATACGTGGCGGTAACATGCCAATGGTTCTCCTCTATTTTTATTTAAAGTAAGTGGTTTGGAAAAGGGAGAATTATTGGGGTGTTACATGTATCCTATTTAATCTTGAATACTATGCAAATTCAAAGACAATAATAAAGTGCAATATGACGATTTTTTTGAGGTGCGGAAATTATGTGCCGTAATAGATAAATAATCAAACAAAATAAAATTTCCATCTTGTACGGCTAAGATTTTCGAAGGTCTCCAGCACCCCCCATATACGATTTCCAGGGGTCTCTAGTACCCCCCCCCCCCCCCCCCCCCGGCTAAGATTTCTGGGAGTCTCTAGTACCCCCCGTCTATGATTTCCAGGGGTCTTTAGTACCCACCGGATAAGATTTCCGGGGGTAAACATTACCCCCGAAAAACATAGACGGGGTACTTATAATGAAAAATTACAACAAATCAACAAAAAAATTAAACAAAAAAAATTAGACCGGATGGTTTATGAGCAGTGAACGACTTCTTCGTCGCTAAGGCTCAGACTGAAGAATTTTGAGGGAAATGGTGAAATGAAATGAATTGGAAAAAAAAAATGACTAAAATGGTGAATGAAATGGAAAAAATTGGCAAGTGAAATGAATTGCAAAATAAAAAATGTAAAAACTGAAAGCCTAGTGAAAGGGCGAATAAGTTTTTTTTATTTGGAAAAGGCTATTTTAGTCTTTTGATAATTTCCATATCATTAATTAATTTCTGCATTTAGGTTATTTTGTACTGCATTTAGAACTTGCGATAAAAAATAAAAAAAAATCCGCAACTTTAATTGCCAAATTTGCCGGCTTCCCGCAACCCACTTCGCCACTCGCTAAATCAGTTCAGCAACTCCATGACATACATCTTCTTGACTTCTTGTTAACCGCTTAGCTCATGCCCAATTTATTATTATTACTAATTTACTATGAATCTTAATTTTTTTTTATTTTATTTTTAATTCTGAAATATAATTTGTGTATGATAACAAAGGTTATCGAAGAAAATAGGAGATTGAAAAGAAATTTTTAGGGATAAAAAATTTAACTACTTGATAAACAAAAATTAAGGGGTTTTTGTGCAAAACATGAAATCAATTTTTCCTTGAAAGCAATTCAAGATTTGAGAAAACATACTTCATGCCCGTTGTAATTGATAGAAGGTAAAGCGTTAAATATGGAAGTTGAATAATTTGGGGGTAAAATAATAAAATTAAATGAGAAAATAGGAAGAATTAAAAGGGAAGATAGAAAATTAGGAAAAAAATATTTCAGAAATTTGTAGGTTGGAGCAATTCACGAAGTATGGGAAGATGAATCCACACAACTGATTAATTATGGGAGTAAATGGAGGAGGCTGACTTTCAACTTTTCTTTGCCTAAATCAGTTTTTTTTTTTTATTTATTTTTTATTTATTTATTTTATTTTATTTTTCCCTTCTTATGGCTGGGTTGGGCTTTGAAAATAGGGGTCCTCAAAATTTTGGAGCCTTGTGCTGAGGGGCTGTTTGCACAGGGCCTTAACCGGGCCTGTTAACGCCCCTAACAAAAAGTTGGATAATCAAAGCCGTAAAGGTTTTTCCATGGCGATACTCTTAACTAACTTCCTCCTAACTGCTACAAGATCTTAACCTTCGAACATTCGAAGGTGCACATAAAAATAACGGTTTGGATTATTATAAGACATACGAGCTAATGAATATTGAATATGCATCAATGTATCATGCATGGTTATGGAGCAGCACTCCAAAAATACCAAAAAAAAAAATAAATAAATAAAAATTCATAACTTAATACTGGGTCAAAAATACCAATTAATTTAGGAAATTAATCTTCTCTTTCTTCATTTGATCATCCAACAACTTTCTCTCTCCTCAACATCACCGCTAATTCACCTACATTTTTTGTGAATTTCATCGGCATTCAGGTGCGAAGTTTCGATCATTTCATTAATTTTTCAAATTTAATATTTGTAAGAATTTGAATTTTTCTGATTTTTTTTATCCTAATTTGATTTGTTTTGTTGGTAATTAATAGTGATTGATTACGACCTTTTTTCAGGGAGAAAGATGAAATAAAATTAAGTTTAAGGTCAGATTATGTGATTTTAGTTTGAGGCGAAATGGGGACTTTTCCAAAACAGGTAAGAATGATTTTGATTTTATTTTAGGTAAGTTTTGATTTGTTTGATTCAGATTGTGTTATTTTCTTGAATTGTAGATTTTTGTTTAGCTCATTTTGGACTATTTGTTCAATAATTTGTTGTGAACATAGTATTTTGATCATTTAATGGTTTCCCGTTAGATATATTTGACCTCTAATTGAAAAAGAAATGAAGTTGGCTAGCTTAATTTGTGAAGTCTTAGGGTAGTATCAAAATGTGTTTGAATCCCGTCTACATCGATGCTATTTGTGGTTTTCTATACAACTAGAAAAAAAGTACTGATTAAAGAAATGTGCTTTCTATGATTGGCATGTATGATAGTAGGTAATGTGCTGAATCGGGGGTTGTTCGTATTTATACAGCACTGAGTACTTTTTATGCCAGATGAAGGGGTACATTCAATTGAATGTTTCTCACTGAATTGAGGGTACAATAGGGTTAAATTAGGTAATACAAGTATAAAGTATTCACTTTAACCAGACAGCAAAATATGTACATTGGCAATGGTAATTGTTGGCGGTGCTAGGCTGGAAGGAATTAACCCAACAAATATGTGTGCTTTGGTGGGAAAATAAATTAAATAATGTTCAGTGTAAGTGGATAAAAAATAATTATGTCTGTTCAAAAGTAATTAAAGATTTCTTTCTGTAATACATAATTGGTTGCGCTATTACATTCATTTGTTACACAAGACAGATTTGATGGTAAATCGGCAAATGGTTCTATAACAATGATCTGCTCATTTTTATTTTGATTGTGCAGGCCGCAAGTATCAATTATGTGGTCGGATCGCTTGTTTGGGTAGAGGACAATGAGGAAGCATGGTTAGATGGAGAAGTTGTGGAAGTGAGTGGTGAAGAACTTACAGTAAATTGTACAACAGGGAACACTGTGAGTATTTTTTCTCTCTGAATGTATTTGAAATACATGTACCATGCTTTTTGTCATTTAGAGGACCTAATCAGAGAAATTACACCCGTGACAGGACCTAATGACATAAATCGATATTATGTGAAGATAAAAAATTACTACGTAATTGACCATGCTGGGGAATGTTAGTTAGGACAATCTTACTGTGGTTCTTAAGCTTATGAGTAGAAAATTTGATTAGAAAAGTTGCAAGATTTTTTATATATATATAATGGAGTAAAGGGGTGATTATTCTTTCATTAGCTTGTCGTACTCTCCTACCCATGACTATCTTAATATTTCTACAGTCGCCCTTAGCACTGCTGTAGGCCCAGATTTGATGTAATTAGCATAAAATGCAATGTTATCTGTCTACGAGTTGATTTATGCTACAGTATATAGTATATACTAGTCAGATAACATTCTCAGCTGCAGTATTAGAGACAGACTTCTTCCGCCGATCATGGGTTTCTCTTTCAACTTATGTAAGTTAAATGACTCACGGGAAGCAATATAATAGTCGTCTTGAGGTTTCAGTGCTGTTATAACCTTTCCAACTTTTGGTGGATGCACTTGAGTATTCATGCCTAAACAATCACCTCTTAGTCTTAAGGAGCTCTATCTAATACAAGTACTTTGGGTATCACAAAGGAAGATAATATATCTCTTTGCTATAGTGGATGATATTAAATGAAGAAATCTACAAAGGGAGGTAAAGGGAACTCTGAAAAGAATCAATTAATTTACATGAATGAGTCTTTGAAGGTTTATACTCATATTAGCTTGTAAGGCAAAACGAGTAAATGAACGAGTGGTTGCTTGTTTGACATTTTTCTTTCTAGCCAAAATTCTCCAATTTTGTGATGAAGGGATTAGAAAAAAAATTATTTATTGGATTCCAAGATGTACTGTGATGCATTTATTTAAAAGCTGGGATCTCTTTGAAACTTAATAGTTCTTCTATCTACCTTTGGTCCTTTTCAAGAATGATTTTGATAAAGTGTAGGTTTTGTTGTGGTATGTGTAAGAAGTTTGTGTGGAGATATACATATTTGTATATGTTGGTGTATTTCATTCTGGATATTCAAGGATCTTTCAATGAAGTCAAATACCATGACGACACTTTTACTCCTTTGGTCCCCAAATAAATGTTTCATTTGCCTTTTGCACATGTTTATTGGAAGGTGAAAAAATAAATAAGAAAATGGATTTTGGTTGATTGAAAGTGAGTATATAAAAATAATATTTTGTGGGGTTTAATTGTGTTGATTAAAGATGAATAAAGATATACATAAGTGAAATGTTACTTTTAATTATGGATAAGGTTTTAGATGATTTGAGCCCTTTGTTTTAGGGATAGGGGGAGTAATTTTGATCTAAAAGAATGTGATGGATGCTTAGGGGAACCTAGATCGTTGAACCAATCTAAGAAATAATTCCTTTCTACTCATTCCTCAATACATAGTACCTGGTTAAGCAAGGCGTTGGTCTACAATGATCTTGGTATAATGCCAACAAATCAAAAGTTACGTTTCTAAAATCTAGATGAGAAAGTCAATAATCAAAGGACTAGGGGGAAGGGATTCCTCGTAATGCATTAATTATATATAGCAAGGTTGTGTATTACCATAAGTTCCCATTTGGGTTTATGATAAAGTTCATGGCTCTTGGACATAGGTTTCTACCCCAAGTCCCCAATTTAACCTCAACTCTTGTTGTTGGACTCATATTTGGCATATGGATTTCTTGAGAAAGAGAGGAAATTTTTCCTAGCTACAAAACCACCCAAGTTCCTCTCGGATCTTTCTCGAGTTTGCTAGGTAATCCCTAGGTCTAGCGGTTAGCGAAATCCCCTTCTCATGAGAGTGCTTTTCTTAGGTAAGTGTCCAAGACTAACAAGATAGATTGTCCCATATTAAATGATCCTAGGATCTAGTCCGAATCCTAGGGTCTTTCCAAATCGTAGTCTTAATTCATAAACCCGGAATCGTTGAAAACACCTATGGTCCTGCCAAATCATGCAAGAATGAACTCAAAGTGCTAGAGGGGAAGAGGAATATACTTGCCATGACACTATTAGAGATCACCCGACCCCTAGTCCTATAGGACTTTTCACAAATCATGTTGGCAACTACAAGATCTGAACTTTAAACAATGAAACACGTCATAAAAATATAAACAGTAACCAAATTTTGTAGCTGAACTAAGAGCTTAAATCTACTAACTACTAGGATTGCAAACTAGTAGATTAAACATAAGTGAATATTAATAACATGGAAATTAAAACCTACTGCGTATTATAAATTGTTTTGAAGTGATGGTGAGAAACAACTAAACCAAAGCCTTTCCAAAATTTCAATGTTGTTTTACAAAGAGTAGCGAGCTTCTTGTAGAAAGGGAAAACTTACGAAAAAAAAGAGGTATAGCTGTCACTTTGTTCTAGGGGTGGAGCAGCCATTCAGCTAGCCATTCCCCTGGCATTGCTATGAAGGTCAGAGATGAGGAACGTGTCGTTCTTCAATCTTGCATGGCTGTTCTTAACCTCATTGAAAAATTGAAGTCCCTGAACAGGCTTGTGGTCTTGAGTGGGGAGGATGCATGGTCTTGTCCTTCCTTTTCTGTATTCTTGGCTGAGCTGGTCTTTTAGCTTAGGCAATTCCCTTGGACTGATTTATGGCAGAGCTAGGTATGATGAACTTTGCAACAATATAAACTTCTCAAAGGGGTTTGATGATGATGATGAGATGATGATTGGCTCAGGGGCAAGCAAACATCCTTGGTTCTTTTTTTCTTTGAATTCTTAGGGAATTCTTCCCTTTAGCTCTATTTGTAGAAAATTTGTAAAATAAGCAAAAGCAAGGCAAGAAAGAATGCAAATATGACCTAAAATGCAACTATAATGCGCATACACACACACACACACACACACGCGCGCGCGCGCGCACGCGCACGCATACGCACACATGCGCGCACAAACACACATCTTCTATTCTATGTTTATTTAAGTGTCATATGCTGAATACTTACATTACAACTATCGACTCTTGCTAATGCTCATAGAGTCCTCCTCATCCACGTTCCCTAGCATAGCATGTTGCATTGTAAAATGCAATTGGTTCTGTTTTCTATATTCTCAACACTGGTGGACCTTTTGTTTCCCTAGTTGGTATCATTACGCCATTAATGATACATTTTCTTTGAAAAAATACAGGTTGTTGCTAATGCATCCAGGGTTCATCCAAAGGATCCCGAAGCACCTCCTTCTGGTGTAGATGATATGACCAAACTGGCTTATCTACATGAGCCAGGGGTTCTTAATAATCTGAAATGTCGTTATGATATCAATGAAATTTATGTAAGTGATGAGCAATTTTTCCTTTTTTCTCTTTTCATATGTGCATACATATATGATCACAATCTAAACTCTTACTCTTGTGCAGTCATACTGATGTGTTAAATATGTTAGTGTATATCTGTCATAATTGTGAAAATATTTATCAGTGCTATTTAGTCTTTACATAATCTTTTTGCACAATGTTGCTTGATATTGAGCATTAAGCCACCAGGATAGAGAATTATGTGCTTTGAATTACTGGTTGTATTATGGTCTTCTTATCTGTTTCGGGAACATATTATATCTTGTTATTCAATAGTAAAAATTTAGTATTCATCTCCTACAAATAAGTTTGATACTACTAAATTTCTTTCTAGACATACACAGGAAATATACTGATAGCTGTGAACCCTTTCCAAAGGCTACCTCACTTGTATGATAGTGATATGAAAGAGAAGTATAGAGGGGCATCTTTAGGTGAACTAAGCCCGCATCCCTTTGCAATTGCAGATTCTGCATACAGGTAATGTTGTTTTTTTTGTGGTCAATTTGAAGACGCCTTCTTATTTTGCCTGTGAACCTTGGTGTTAATTACATATGTTCATGACAGAATGATGTTACAGCAAGGAATAAGTCAGTCAATATTGGTTAGCGGGGAGAGTGGAGCTGGGAAAACAGAAAGTACTAAAAGTCTTATGCAATTTCTAGCATATATGGGAGGAAGAGCTAATGCTGAGGGACGTACTGTTGAGCAGCAAGTTCTAGAGGTATAAATGATTAAATAATTGTTTTCTGTAGAATAGTATTGTTCAAAGCATATCATAACTTAGAATTGATTCTATCTATCACATAGCTTTCCAGAACTTGTATTTTTTAAGCAGAAGCTGTTTCCTGTTATGCTTTAACATACTTTTATACTGTTATCTCGTAGAAGGAAACAGGCAATATTTGCACCCTATGAGATTCTTGTTTCTATTTTCTGTCTCTCCGAATTCCTTAGTTTCTTAGAAGAATGTGGTGGATACTGGAAGCAAGTTAAAGGTCTTTTTCATGTCAGAAGTCGTATCATGGAGCAATGCCATTGCATGCGTAGTCAACTCATAGCATTGTCTATTTCTGCTGTAAGAAGGGACTTAGGTACCATTTAAAGTTAAGGAATTAGGGTCTCTACCATGGTTAATTGATCAAATGTATAATCAACTTTTCTGTTTGGAAAGATATTGGTCGTAAAACTTGTCATGGCAAAGTGCTTTCTTTGCAACATATGTTGCATTTCCTAAGAAAGTACCTGGTGGCCTTACTTTTGATTGTGGGGCTTTTTAAATTTGGTATATATCTAGCTATTGGGGATTGTGTTAAAGTAATTTTTACTACGGGGACAAGCAATCACTGAGATTCAAAGAACTAGGTTTTGGCTCAAGAACAGTGTAGAAATCGCTAATTTAAGTATGTAGCTAAGCATATGATACTGGGGAAGGTAGGGAAGGTAGTTCCTTTTGATTTCCTGAGTGGTAAAGGCACTAGAATTTAAATCTATTAGTTCATATGATCTTAGTGTTGACAAGTGGCATATGTCAACTTGTTTATCTGGATAGGGATATGTGGTCCTCCAACACCAATACTCTCTTTCATTTAATTTTATCACATCTAATATTGTTTTTTCACCTCCTTTGTTATGCAGTCCAACCCAGTTCTGGAAGCATTTGGTAATGCTAAGACCGTGAGAAACAACAACTCAAGGTATTTATCTTGCTTTTCCATTATAATATTCATTCCCATACTTGTGAATAAAATTGGTCTACAATCATTCTCATTAAATTGACTTTTAACAATGTATAACTTGGCAGTCGTTTTGGCAAGTTTGTGGAGATACAATTTGATCAAAGGGGGAGGATTTCAGGAGCTGCTATCAGAACTTATCTACTAGAAAGATCTCGTGTTTGTCAGGTGTCTGATCCTGAAAGAAACTATCACTGCTTCTACATGCTGTGTGCTGCCCCAAAAGAGGTAATTAGTTAGTGAGTAGATGCTTCTATATGTGTGATGTTTGGATATGTTATTACATGTGGCTAGAATTATTGCTGGTTCAGATAAGAAAAGAAATGGTGATGCTTATGTGTTGTACTTACAAGAGAGAAGGAATTTGCTAAATGGCTTGTTGACTTTGCAGAAGAAAGATTGAGAACTGAACTATAATCTTGTGAATTTCTTCAGAAGATATGCATTAATTTATTTCTTAGCAAGTCTCAAAATTCAAACAAAAGCATGGTTTTTAATTTCACAGAACTGCCTTCAAACATTTTTAAGTCTCAAAGTAAAAACTTTAGTAAGGATTTTATCCATATGCTTAAGCAAACAAAATATTTTACAGTTAGATCTTTCGTCCTTTACCATCTCATTTCTCATAGATTCAGGGAATTTTTCAATAATCTTATACATGATTATTTGCTATAATGTAGGAAGAATATTTGAGATCGAGACCTTTGAGCCTTGATATCTGTCTATGCCCATCCTCAAACTCCCGTACTGATCAGACTTTTTCTATGTCACTAGTTTGTGTAGTTTCCTTTGTTGCCTTGATGGATATTTTTGTAATTTCAAGGTAGTACTGGGTATCGTGTCAAAATTTCTTTTGATAACTCATAATTACTTTGCTCATTGGCTGTATATAATTGAACTTTGTTTTATTGTCGGAAACAAGCTCAAAAAAGTTTACATTACCCTCTAGCTTTTTGTTTATATTTTGTTTCTTAATGTCTTTCTAATGCATGCTATATACTTGCAGCAAGCTTTCTGTTTACTTTGTTTCAAGTTCTATGAATCCATGTCTAATAATATAAATATATTTTTTTCATTTATGCTCACTTAGGATGTCGAGAGGTTTAAGTTGGACAGTCCAAGAACTTTTCATTATCTCAATCAATCAAATTGCTACGAGGTTGATGTCATAGATGATGCACAAGAGTACTTAACAACTAGAAGAGCCATGGATGTTGTTGGAATTAGTTCTCATGAGCAGGTAGCATGGACATAAAGAAATGTCCGATATTCTTTTTATCTTATCATGTTGGATAGATTTTAGATTTGTTTTCTTACCTAAATAGGATTTGTTATAATCCATTTCCTTCATAGGATGCGATATTCAAAGTTGTGGCTGCAATTCTCCATCTAGGTAATATTGAATTTGCAAAAGGGAGTGATTCAGATTCCTCTAAACCCAAAGATGAAAAATCTAGGTTTCATCTGAGAACAGCCGCTGAGCTTTTCATGTAAGCAGCTTCTTGCACTTGTGACATTTATTTTATATGTACCTTATTGAGGTAGCTCATGCACATGTAATTTGTGTTTAGGTGTGACAAGAAGGCACTTGAGGATTCTCTTTGCAAACGTGTGATTTTTACTCGTGGTGAATCGATTACTAAGAATTTGGATCCAGATGCTGCTACTGTCAGTAGAGATGCCTTGGCCAAAATTGTTTACTCCAGGTTGTTTGACTGGTACGTTCCTAGACATTCTAAGTTAAGGTAAAATATTTTACCTTTAAGCTGCTTAAGATGAACCAGTCTTATAAGGTTTCATTCTATTTCTTCAGGCTTGTCAACAAGATAAATAGTTCAATTGGTCAGGATCCTGATTCAAAATTTCTGATTGGGGTTTTAGACATTTACGGTTTCGAGACATTCAAGACCAACAGGTGCTTAACCGGTACGCACTTTTGTTGTTAATTGAATGATTTTACCATATAGAACTGAGAAAAAGTGATTTTTTGCATGAGAAACTATATGATTGACAAAAGGATGTATGTCACCACATAGGTGCTAGCAGGCACAATCAATTGTTCAGTTATTAAATGATTGACCAATGGATTCCCTTTGTTTACTTTTAGCAGACTGTTGAAGCTGTTTGTTGGTCTGGTTATGCCAGCCGTGTCATAAAATTACTTTAAGCTAAGACAATCACTTGATTTGAAATCATTTGTTTTATTATATTGTTGTGTTTTTAAAATAAAGAAAATTTTCTTGCTCTCCTTTTTCAATTTTGTACAGTACTCATTCGTGAGGTTCATTTTACTCTTTGCAGCTTTGAGCAGTTCTGTATTAATTTAACAAATGAGAAGCTACAGCAACATTTTAATCAGGTTTTATTTTATGCAATTAAAAATCTTAAACGATAGCTCTACTTGATGATGAACAATTATTATTTATAGTATTTGTTTATCTATTTTCCTTTCTGGCAGCATGTTTTTAAGATGGAGCAAGAAGAATACACTAGAGAAGAAATTGATTGGAGCTATATTGAGTTTGTTGACAACCAGGATGTTCTTGATCTTATTGAGAAGGTTGGTATTCGCTGCTGTTGTCCTGTTTTGATTAGTACACAGAGCTGGTTTGTTACTGTTACACAATGAAAACTTGGAAGCTTAAGGTCTAAGTTTAACTACCAAAGATTCTAAAATAAATCAGTGTCCCAGACCTTCATGTTCAGGTCACTCAATACTTATGCCATGTATTTATAGTAATGTTAGTGTTCCATGAACATTCTTTATGAATTGATGTTTCAAATCTTGAGACAAAAACTTTTCTACTTAATACCATTTTCTAAGAAACAAATCAGATGTATCCCAATCTTCAAGATTTTTATGAGAGAAAGCAAATGAGGGGACAACTGATTATTTTGGTGTAATAAGTCCTTTCTATATATGTTATTTCATGTCCTCATTATGTTTTTCCCATTATGAAGATTGGGTACATTCCCTGAAATTGTCATCCCGAATAGTTTAACTTTTTGTTGGTGAGCCTCCCGCCCCTGCTACCCAAGATAAAAGAGAATTCTGTGCGTGCAAACTTCCTGACTTTTAACCTGTGTATTGATTGCAGAAACCTGGTGGGATTATTGCTCTTCTGGACGAAGCCTGGTAAGTACTGGAGTTATTAAGTTTTTAAATGATAATGTTTGTCTTCATACTTATGTATATTCAACCTCCTTCCTCTCCTTAAATAGCAAAATGAGAAAAACAGCAAAATAGACACATGTAGATCATCGTTTTCAATGTTGATGAAATTTGTTTTTCTCATAGTATGTTTCCTAGATCAACACATGAGACATTTGCTGAAAAGCTGTACCAGACATTCAGCAATCATAAACGCTTCAGCAAACCAAAGCTATCCCGCACAGACTTCGTTATTTCTCATTATGCTGGTGAGGTAGGTCACTTTTGATGAGGAATATTATAAATGGATGGTAGGGTCTCTTGCTTTATAGAAAAAATTATTATCTTGATATTAATCTATCAATAATTATGCTGCAGGTGACCTACCAAACCGAGTTTTTCTTGGATAAGAACAAAGATTATGTTGTTCCAGAGCATCAAGAACTTCTAAGTGCTTCCGAATGTGCCTTTGTGGCAAGCTTGTTTCCACGTTTTCCTGAGGAGTCAGCTAAATCTTCTAAGTTTTCCTCTATAGGTACCAGCTTTAAGGTCGGTCTACTAATTCTTTATCTCTCTCTCTCTTCTTATTCCATTCTCCTCCCCTGGAGAGTGTTGAGGGTGAGATTCACCTTTTCTTATCTGTGCTTCCCACGTGTCTGAAGCTTCCATATTGAATTATTTTTCTCGTCTTGTTTACCCAGCACCAATTGCAGTTACTGTTGGAGACACTTAGCGCAACAGAGCCACATTATATCCGCTGTGTAAAGCCTAACAATCTTCTTAAGCCGGCAATATTTGAGAACAGTAATGTTCTGCATCAACTTCGTTGTGGGGTATATTTTTCTGCTTATTGTATCGCTTGGTGTTACACTGTATGAACTTTAGTATGTTGCTTAGTTAGGACTCTTAAAATCTGCTTATCTCCTTTAGGGGGTCATGGAGGCTATAAGAATTAGCTGTGCTGGATTCCCCACAAGAAAGCCATTTCATGAATTTATAAATTGTTGTCGTATTCTTGCTCCAGAAATTATGAATGGCAGGTAAAATAACCTAAGTTTAATACTATGGTTCGTTCGTCTTAAATTTTGATTCTTGTTTGTGTTGTTTTCTTTTCCTTCACAATCATTTTACATGTTATGACCTTTTATCTCTATGACTTGCTTTCTACAGCTACGATGAAGTCACTGCATGTAGAAAGATTTTAAAGAAAGTGCAGCTTGACGGATATCAGGTGTGACGGATCTATTATGATGCACTGTATTTTGTATTAAGTTTGTTAGTTAATTTTTACCAAGTCCATGTTGTAGCTCTTATGGTTTTCTATGAGATAATATCAGTTCATAGCAAGGTCATAAAGCCATAGTTGTTCCATTCATCATCATGGTTCTTTCAAGCCCAATAGAAATTAGCAAATGTAGCTTATTACTTTGAATTGCCTGATGATTTACAAACAAAAGTATTGACTATTTCAGCCAGTGTTGTCTTAGAAGCCTAATTTGGCCTCTTATGTATCATATTGTATACTGTGAACTTTTTTTTGAAATACTCAAAAACCATAACAAAAACAATGTCACAGCCATAATCCTGGATGGGTCAGCTACACAAACCAAGATGTCATCTTTATGAGTAATTCATGTGAATCATTTTCCACCACTATCTCGTCTGTCCAATATGAGATGGTCCTGGCCTCCTGGGCATCGAATGTTTTTTCATATCCTTTTTCACCCTTACAATCCATGTCATCCTTGGTTGACCTCGACTTGTAATTACTCCATTATCACAATATTCTATTCTTGGGAAAACTGTCTTTTGATGTTGGATGTGTCCAAACTACAAGAGTCCGTTATTCATAAAATTACTGTGGATGTCTAATTGCAAATTCCACGTCTTACCTCCCATCCACCTATAACATATCTGCCACATTTTTCTTTCAAAAAACGTGATCTATCGTGAATTTCTTGTATTCCTATCCTTATAGTAAAGCTTATCAAACAGTTATGTTATAAAACTTTTACTTCACCTTTAGGCGCTGTAGTGATGCAGAGTCAATAATTTTCCCTTTTTGAGCCAAGTTTGATCTTGTGCGAAATATCTTTGGTCAAAATCTCCATATTTTTGTTTCGATGATATACTCTAAACACTCAACAGTCAACACTCGGTAAAAGACAATTCTACTTGCTATCCCAAAAAGTTCAACAGTATTTTCATCCAAATTCTCCTCTACCTAATTTTACTCGACACATTCTGTTTTACATCACTTTGCCTTAAGCCTCGAGTTTTCAATTCCTGTCTCCATAGATTTAAGTTAATATTTTCATAAATTACATTTTCTTATGTCAATGGTATACATGTATATTCTGTAGTTTTTAAATACATGAGCTTGCATGATCATTCTAAGTATGATTTAATGGCAGATCGGTATAAGTAAAGTGTTTCTCAGAGCAGGCCAGATGGCTGAACTAGATGCACTCAGGAATGAGGTTTTAGGGCAATCTGCTACCAAAATTCAGAAGCAAATCCGGACTTTTTTCTTCCACAGATGGTTCAAACAAATGCGGTTGTCTGCTATACGTATTCAAACCTTCTGCAGAGGTACTTCTATATCTGTTTAGGACCTCTACTCAAGAAATATTCTTTAATTCCATCTTAATAAATATACAAATAAAGTACATAGGCCTCTATACTGCAAAAGAGCAATGACTACTTAGCTAGCCTGCTGGATGAGCGTAACAGATGTATTCTTGGTAGATAAGAACATAAAATTGAATTTGTGATCTTTGTGAAGTACTACTTCCTAAGTAATAGATAATAGAATGTAGTTGTAATGTAATCTATAAGAACAATGGGTAATTCTCAATAGTAACCCTAAGTTCTGGACAATTATCCTTGGATGTCAACCTAAATTTATTTCTCCATGGTAGTTTTTTGCTTTTAATTATACTTGAAAATATGGCATTAACAACCATTTTTCAATATATACAATTGTGAAAGAGTTGTTTTTAAGTTAATTACAATTCTCAATGTTTGAATGACGCAAGTTCCCTTCAACAAACTGCTTTTTCTTCATCTCTCTTTAAAAACCAAAATGAACTAGTATTTCGATAAGAGAAGAAGGAACAACCTATAATCATAGTTTACAAAAGTCTCCAAAGTTCAAAACTCCAAATATGTATTGGCGTATTGCCCCAACATTCCCAAATAACTTAGTGGCCAATGTTGGATTAATACCCTACTAATCTTTAAGGCAAATATAATTCTTGTTAGATTATATGGAGGTTGATCTTTTATTCGAAAACCACTGTTGACGCATGCAATACCATGAAGACCTTGTAAAGAAGATTATTAGGATCAAAGCATGATAAGTGAGCTGGAGTTGCTTCAGGAAAACTTTATTAGTTATGTGTAAAAAAGAAATGTTCTTAATAATCTAAAGGCTATAGAGCTCTGAGGAGATTAAATTTTGTTTGAATTTGAGATAGCCCATTCCTTAATGTTATAATTTTTGAAATGAATTGTAAATCATCCTCATTGTAAGAAAATCACTCTATTGTGGAAATATGACTATTTATAGATGGTAGTTGCCAATAGATCAGATTTGCACTTGTTGAGGACATGAACACACATTTGTATGCTTTATAATAACTCAAACTTATCATTGCAGGACAAGTTGCTCGGTCTGTGTTTGAACACAAGAAGAAAGAAGCAGCATGTCTGAGAATCCAAAAGGAGTTGCGCAGGCATCTTGCCAGGAAATCTTACTTAGAGTTATACTCTTCTGCTATGACAATTGAGAGAGGTATGCGGAGCATGGCTGCTCGTAGTGAGCTTCGTTTTCGAAGACAGACAAGGGCTGCAATTAAAATTCAGGTAAAATCTCATACTCCCTCTTTCCTTTATGCTTGCCTCATTTGGAATTTTTCATTTGAAGAGAGAAATTTTTTTCCATGAATTTTATCTATATAGACATCCTCAAATAATTGCTCAATTTCTCATTTTACACTTTATACAAACTCTCCTTTAACTTTCTTTTCTAATTTACACATAAGGAAAAACTAGATGCAGAGTTGTATAGAAAAGAAATACTCATGTGAGATCTTGTTAGATTCGTCTCAATGTGTAGTTTTAAATTATTAACTTCTCATAATTCATAAATTAAACATAATTAAAAATGTGCATTGCAATTTGTTGAAATGTCATATGGAACATACATTAAGGAATGCAGGAAGTAGTTTATATTTAAAAGAACTAAATTTTTAGCCGTATGGTGGAGTCTATATTGGGCAAGATGTCACATTTTTTTTAGTGAACACAATTGGAAGGGTAAGAACCTTTCATTTTTGGTGAAAATTTCTTTATTGTAGGTAGAAGAAGAATGTACGAGGGAGGAGGAGAGGTCCTTTGGAAAATATAAATGCAAAAATTGTCCTCGTATCACGTGATAATCTTTAAATGAAAGTACCATCAGCATGTGTTGTATAGAAGCTGAGTACACAGATATGTAGAGAAGTTAATGCAATCCAAGTTATTGATGTTTTTTATAATCCTATTATTTCTATCTAATCGAATCACCCACACGACCACAAAAAAAGTTGATTCACTTTTAAACACTTCCCATTTTCCTACTGAAGGTCATACAAAAAATATGATAATGCTCCTAAATGATTTGTTACATGAGAAAGACACCTGCTTGTAGTGTAAAAAATAAGGAAGCTCTTCCCTTACTTGTTACTTGAAAAACACAAAACATACTCAGTTGGTTAGCAAGCTTTGTGAGTCTCTTCATCAGAAGTTTATCGTATTGTGCCTCTCTAAGAGAGATATCCCAATAAAAGTTTGTAAAGTTTGATTTTGAAGTCCCCCCCCCCCATTCCATAAAAAGGAGAAAGGATTATGCAGAAGTAGCATTATAAGATACCTAAAAGGCAAACTTATGTGTATTTATACATTCCGAATCAAGTACCGTCTTACGTATATTATTGTTTGTGAAAACTAGTTTAGATCTTATTTCTGGTAATGAGTCAATAGCTGTTTTATTAAGTCTTGAAAATGGCTCGTCTTCTTTTCTTTTATAACGTGTAAAATAAAACTCCCTCTGTAGTGTGTCAATTTTATTTTTTATTTTTTTGTTAGGCTTAGGCATGCATATTAAGAAATTCAGTAGGGTGGGTGAGAGTATGAGAGAAAGTGATGCAGTAGAGGGGTCTACTTCACATGAGTTTAGTAAGAAAACTTTTTAGTTAAAGTAACAAGAAGATTTTTGTGGACATCTTAAGGAATACAAGAAGATTATTTGTGGACGGAGGGAGTATAATGCTAATTAGGACCATTAATCTTACCATAATGGAGTGCTGGATAGTAATTATACATGGAGAAATCTGCTGAAAAGGATGTTCAATTTTCTTAAAACGAAATCATATGAAAAGATGTGTATGAAGACTTTATGTTCTCCATGGAAAACATACAATTCCCCATAGAAGATAAGAAGTTTTCGAGAATGGATAAGTAGGTGTTTAATTTGGCTTTAAAATGGCTCGCCCTTCTTTATTGTTTCATCCATTAATTTTCCAATATTTTAGCATGCACTAATATTTTCCTTTTTGTGATATGTTCATGTGTACTACAGAGTCATTGTAGAAGGTACAAAGCCCAATACCATTATCGAAAGATGAGGAAAGCAGCTATTATAACACAATGTGCATGGCGAGCTAAAATGGCAAGAAGAGAATTACGGAAACTTAAAATGGTGACAAACTGAACATTTTTAAGCAGATTTTTTCTTGACCTTTGTGAAATAGTTTGATATGAAATGCGTCTGCTTTGGTTTTCCTTGCTTCTAGTTCAATGGAGAATCAACATATAATTGACTTCAGCATGTTCCTTAGCCACCTCATATGTTGAAATCTTGCTTTTGCATGATGTGAGATTACTGGAGTAGGCTACTTATAGTTAAAGACCCATGTAAACAATTAAATGCCTCAAATCATCCCATACAAATAACTGGCGTTCATTTTCATCCACAGAAATCAGAATAGTTTCACTGTACAACTGTCTTTTATAGTTAACCTATTTGATGGACAATGCGTGTTGGTCAACAAAATAACATCGTCATTGGTTTTTTTTTTTTTTTTTTTTTTTTCATCTTTGTTTAAACTTGATTTCATGAATTAAAGTAATGAGCCTAATATTAGTGGATAAACTTTGATTTAAAGACAAATTTTGGAAGGGAGAAGGCAAAGGTTGATGTTATTTTGTCCTGAATATAGTTGACTCTATGAACTGAGGGTTATCTGTCCCATGGCCTCAATATTTATTATGGTCTCGTAGTTTAGAGGGAAAAGCTGTGAAATGCAAGCTGGTTAGTGGAAAAGTACATTTTCTTTGTCTTTTGTGCTACATTTTACCAAAAATTGTTGATGTTTGATTGTATAATAATCTATAAAATTACTCTGTTTTATTTTATTCTATGCTATTTATTCTATTGAACTGCAAGCTACTTCAACTTTAATTTTCTCAATTATAAATTCATTTTATGATCATTTGTGCTAGGCTGCAAAGGAGGCGGGTGCTTTGAAGGAAGCTAAGAATAGATTAGAAAAGGAAGTTGAAGAACTAACTTCCCGACTGCAGTTAGAGAAACGCATGAGGGTTAGTATGATGGTGAATAATTAGCTCAGCCATTAACTATTGTATATCATGAATTCTCCGGTGTTTCCAACCATGACTTCAGATTACTCTTACATGAATAGTAATTTTGTAGTATTATGGTGAAAAATTATGAATTTCTCTTGATAAGTTTCTGTACATTTTTTGTGTATTGCCTGCTGTATCCATCCTTGACACACTTGATTGATATTTACTAGGAAAACTCCTGAGTTTTTATTTATTTGTTTTTATTACCAAAATTATCAAAAGTGTCTTTGCATGAGAATGAGGTATTTCATCCTTGACACGATTGATATTTTCTATAAAGTGGCAGAATCATTAACACTCTTAGTATGTTGTCCTCTAGAATGTCAAAGTTTCATTTTGGTACACAAAGTACAAATCTTGTTAAGGTTATGTTGATTTACCTGGTTTCATCTTTACTGCTTGCTGTAAGGACTTCAATGAGGTTGTCCCACTCTGCATACATCTAGACAAAATTCGCAGACCTTTTTATTGTTTGATTTTATAGAAAATATGTTGTTCTTGGCATCTACCTCCTCCTTCAAGCATTTCAACAAAACATTTCTTTTACCTGCAAATATATTCTGAACAAAGAACAGCAACAGATGTTTGAAGCTAAATTCAGTAAAACTCATATCATATATAAAATTGATATTTTGTGAGTCTTCAATTTGGCTCTATCTCTCATACACTTATCACTTATTAGATATTTCTCTTCATTTGTTTGTTATTTTTCTTAAGGATGATCTTGAACAATTGAAGAATCAAGAAAATGAAAAGCTACAACAGGCTTTGGAAATTATGGAGAAGCAATTTCAAGAAACTAAGACATTGCTTATGAAGGAATGTGAGGAAGCTGTGAAAAAAGCAGCTGACCAAGTCCCTATTATACAAGAAGTACCTGTTTATGATGATGAACTGATGAGTAAGCTTACTGTTGAAAATGAACAACTCAAGGTAACGTATCTTTTGTATACTTCCTCCGTTAATGGTTAATGCAACAAAGGGGTATTATTTGTGAGATATAAAATATTCCTTTGTTGCAATTAACCATTAACGGAGGAAGTATCTTGCTTGGTCTTCTATGTATGGAACTATTCCTGTTTGTTCTCTTTTCAATTTCGACGTGTCTTCCCAGGAATGTGTAAGTTCACTAGAAAAGAAAATTGACGAGACTGAGAAGAAATATGAGAAAATAAGCAAGCTTAATCAAGAATCTGTTTCTAATAATGAATTGATAGATAAACTTTCAGCAGAAAATGAACACCTCCAGGTAATATTTCATGATGGCCTTGCATGACCTACAGTTATTTCGTAACACTACATTTGTTTTGCTCTCATTTAAATTTTTTTGCTTCCTAGAGACTGGTGATTTCATTGGAAACAAAAATCAATGAAACTGAGAGGAAATATGCAGAAACGAGCAAGCAGAGTGAAGATCCTGTTTTTGACAACGAGTCGATAAATAGACTTGCTGTGGAAAATAAACAGCTAGAGGTAAGATATCTTTATGTAAGTTTTCTTGATCTGTCATTCATGTGGAGCAATTGTATTTGGGCACTTCTTTCAATGTAAATTTCCCAGGAAATGGTTAGCTCATTGGAAAATAAAATTGATGAAACTCAGAAGAAATATGAGGAAACAAGCAAGCTAACTGAAGAGCTCGAGGTGAGATTTCGTTGTGTAGGCCTGCTTGGCGTGAAATTCATGCAGAACTTCCATTTTTTTTACACTTGTTGCAATACTTTCGTTTCTTCTCAGGGAGTGGTAAGCTCATTGGAACAGAAAATTGACGAAACTCAGAAAAAATATGAGGAAACAAGAAAGCTAAGTGAAGAGCGGTTAAAGCAGTCACAAGAAGCTGAGTCGAAGATGATTGGACTCAAAATTGCAGTACACAGGTGCTTGACAGCTCTTTACATTTGTGCTTTTTAATAAGAATTGTATGTCAGTTTATATAAATGTATGTAAAGGAACTACTGATATAATAGGCTATGATAGTAATGTATCTTTAGTGGTCATGTGGACTCAAAAAATTCATATATGAATCTTAAGACACTTTAGTGGAGCCATCATTGACTCGTTGCTACCAACTTTAATACAAATTGCAGTACCATATCATACACTCCCTTCATCATCAAATAAAGTCCACCAATATTTAATACAAATTGCAGTACCATATCATATACTCCCTTCATCCTCAAATAAAGTCCCATTTCCCTTTTGCACACGTTTTTAGGAAGGCGAGTAAAAAAATAAGATTGTGGGGTTTAAGTGATTTAAAAGTGAATATAAAAAGAAGAAAGTGGGGTTTTGTTGATTATCAACTGATAGCGAAGTTCAATTCTCTTGCAAAGGCCTTCATTGCCTACTAGATCTATGAATGGCCTTTGTAGTTTCAACTTCTTGTACCAGCTCATTAACATCTAGTGCAAGTTTCTCAAGATGACAAGTAAGGATTAAGATGGTGACAGATGGAGTTCAGACTCACATTCGCATTTTGCTGATTTAAAATACTTTTCCTAACTTGCAATTTTTCCAAAACATATATTTATTGTAGGGATTAGAATCATCCTAAGTAGGGATGGCAATTTAATCTGGATTCGATTCGAGTCCGATTCGATTCGAAGGAAAAAGTTCGATTCGAATCTGAAATAGAAAAAATCCGAAACCGAAACCGATAAAAAAGTCCGAGTCCTAATAGGATTCGGATCGGATTCGGACCCTGTGAAGAGTCCGATCCGAGTCCGACCAAGTCCGGCTTTTTAAGTATGTGGTAGATACATAATTATATACTTGGTATAAAAGCCCAATAAGAAACCCTAAACCTCCTAAAAGCCGCCTCTTTACTCCTTTATTTCATTTTCTCACTCTTTCTCTTTACCCTGTCTCTTTCTCTCTCCTTACTTTTCACTGAAAACACACCTTCATAAGTTCATAACTCAATACTCATGATAACATTCCTCAATCCTCATAACTCTTACTCTTGCTTTACCTGCATACTACCAGTTATACGATTAGCATCAATTTAAGAAGTTTTCGCCGCGCTGGAGTTATTATTGTTTTGAAGACTCAAATATCAAAGCTACACATCTTCTAGATTTTGATGTATATAGTTTGTACTCATTTTTTAGATCTGAATTTTTAAGATTTGATTTTACTTCGTATACTATGTTATATTTTTGTTTGTTAATTTAAGAAATTTGCTAATAAATTATTTCAGGCTCATGCTTTTCTTTCACCTTTATGTTTCATGTTTAATTACACCATTTTTTTGAATTAAAGTATTGAACCTTCAAAGATATTGGAAAAAAAATCACCAAATGCTATTTAAATTTGCCGGATTCGAATTCGGATTCGGAGGTCCAAGACCGATTGACGCGGATTCGGATGCAGTTGGTTCGAATTCGGATGCGGACTTGGAGGTGAATATAGGATCCGTTTGTTAATCGGATCGGATTCGGACATAGTAAGGTCCGACCCGACTCCGATCCGTTGCCATTCCTAATCCTAAGTACTTTGTCACATTGGTCAATTTGGGTTAGGACTTGCTTGCTTCCCACGCTGGCTATGTTACCCAAAATATCCATTTATCTCAGGTTTCCTTTCCATAAGATTCTTGTTCTGGGATCTAAGCCCTCCTTTTCTTTTTATGTAAGTGTGTTACCTGAATTTCAAACACATAATCCTAAGGAAATGGGATTAATTATAAGGAACAAAATGTCATCCCCATGAATCACTCACATGGATCTGTTTCTACACTGTTACCTTGGTATAGTTTGATCTGGGAGACTCAATTTCTTAATATCCTTGATATATATGGTTTATCACGGCCATCTCTTGTCTCCCTTGATCTCTTTTAATGTCTCCATTTTTCCGATCCTCCATTGTGGTGATCCTTGATCACGACGTTGGACTAGTCCAAACCACTGTAGATGGTTTCTTGCATCATATCCTTGATAAATGCTTCTCTTACCTTATGTAGAATCTCTACATTTCAAAATATTTCTTATCTAATGTTACTTCTCATTCACCTTATCACACTCATTTCTACCATATTCATGTATTGATGATGATACTAGAGTTGTGGTTAATGCTAAGTTAGAGTGATGGAGACAAAAGTAAGAATTTTGTGGGTTTAAGTTGAAATATTGACCAGAACGTGACTCACAAGGGTAGTGGAGGCACCTTAGGAGATAAATTAAGTATGAAAATAATCGAAGGCAGGTTGGAATGATGGATATTGATAGAGACAGCAGAGAGGTTACGATGCTTTGGACATGTGTGACATCGACCAAAAATGTATCGATGAGAAGAGTAGAGAGTTAGAAATATGGGTATTTTGAAGTAGTTGTAAGAAGCCAAAGATATCAGGAATGCTAGGGGTCAAAACGATGCGTAGAAATTTGGTTTACAAGAGCATATAGCATCAAATAGAAATATAGAATTGAATGAAGAGGATGTATTAGTGGAAGACACTGGTAATAATTCTTGGTCCATGCTTTTGGGGTCAAGGCTTCAGCATTGTTGTTTCTTATTTTTATTATCTTGCTCATGTGGCTGGAAAATGTGAAGGATACAAATTTAACTCTTTGTAAATTGTTCCTTTTGTTTTCTTCACATTTTCAGTTTTGTGTACTTCGTTGAAATGTAGCTAGGAGCTCACAGTCGCATTTCTCATCTGTGTTGATGGGTAGGCTTAACTGCATAGACAAGCATTTTTATTATGGTTTGGTTTTTTCAGGCTGGAAGAGAAGATAGCTTACATGGAGACTGAGCGCAAGAGCAAATTTTCAGATTATCCGGTATGGAGGTTTTATCAAACTTGAGAACAGTTCTGTCTTTACATTCATTTTCCATGCACTTATGCTCTCATGATCTTTTCAGTCATTCAGTAATGGTCATGTGAATGAACCCAACAAGGCAAGCCATTAAATATGAATCATTTCATATATCTTTCTATGATTGTATCTAAGTATGATAATAAAGTGAAGATATCCTTGTTTTACAGGACTTGCCAAGTGGAACACCAAAGAAAGTTTTTGGCACCGAATCTATGAGGAAATCACATATGGAGAGACAGCGTGTATGTAACAATTTATATTGACTGAGCAACAAGCCTTGCTCTTTCTCATATCAGCACAAGCTATCTGTATTATCTTGATTTGGGCTAGAGCTTGTACTTCTACCAATATGTTTATTGTTTGTTTGCAGGAGCTTGCAGATTCTCTTATCAAATGCGTAGCTGGAGATGCTGGATTTAGTCAGGGAAAACCAGTTGCTGCAGTTACAATGTACAAGTGTCTGCTTCACTGGAAAACGTTTGAAGCTGAAAGGACAAATGTTTTTGATCGGCTTACCGAGTTGATTAGTTCTGCATTCCAGGTATATAAACAAGTATAAATAATTTCTCTGGACAGTACTCCTGGAATTTTTTTGGTTCTCTTTTTTGATATTTTGTTCATATTTCAGCACTGTTTTAGACTAATGAAATTTTTTGTTAGTATTCCCTAACATTTAAAAAGTTTGAGATAACTTTTATGAATAGTGTTTGGACAGTCATATCCTCTAAAAATGTTTATTTTCTTATTTGCCATCATTAATGTTAATTACCTTTTTTTAATTCTTAAGTATAGTGTGTGGACATTTATACTCCTAAAAAAAATGTTTGTCTATATATTTTTCAAGAATGCTATCAACAACTAAAGTAATGACATAAAGTCAAACTGGAAGAGCTCCCCGGACAGGCGGACATGGCTAGCGATGCGCGGCGTTAGCCACCCTAGTAACTGTGAAAAGAATGATGGTACAAAAGTTGGACAAGGAGATATGTAAAAAAAAATAAAAAAAAGGAATAAAGTAGAATTGAGTAGAGCAAAAAACTTAACCTAGATGGAAAGTTGAAATAATACAAACGGAGCTCTCGCATCTAACTACAGAAATATAAGCTTATTTGTAACGTATCCTGGCCTCACGAAGACCTTGGATCCCTGAATCTTTCAAACTCTGTGAAACATTGCCATTGAAGTAGGGACATTTTGTTAAGAAAAGGGCTGGTGAAGAGATATAATTTTGTTGATTTCCTGGATCTGAAATATTCAAACTCTGTATGAAACATAGCCATTAAAGTAGGGATATTTTGTTAAGAAAAGTGCTGGAGAATAGATATAATTTTATTGATTTGACACATCATGTTTATATTGTATATTCAGTACTATGCATTCTTCTTTTCTCCCTGAAACATGACAACCACTTCATGGTAATTGGTGCAGAATTCAGATAATAATAGTCATCTGGCTTATTGGCTGTCTAACACAACTACACTGTTGTTCTTGCTACAAAGAAGTTTCAAGGCAAATAAAGATTGGAAACCTCCTCAGCCTCCAACATTTTTCGGGAGGATGGCCCAAGTAACTTCACTTCATATAGCTAGAGTTGTTTTGATTTTTATGGCTTACACTTGTTTAACAGATTATTTCTTGTGTCTTTATATTACTTGGTCTCTGTTACTTAAATATTTTAAAACAATCCCTGAACATTACTTGACCTTCTCTGTGATTTATTTAACTTTCTAGGGATTTCGCGCCTCTCCTTCGTCTGCAAATCTACAAATTGATATAGTTCGCCCTGTCGAGGCCAAGCAACCAGCTTTGCTTTTCAAGCAACAGCTTACAGCTTATGTCGAAATGTTTTTTGCGATCATTCGAGATAATTTCAAGACAGAGTTGTCACCTGTACTTTCTGGTTCTAGACAGGTTCATTGTGCTTGACTTTATTTCATAAGCTTATCAAATTTTTGTGTGGAGGCCCCTAAGTAACTACTTCCTTTGTTTCGTTTAAGATGCATCATTTTTAAAAACACGAACTTCTAGGTAGTTTGTGGAGATGAGAAGGATAGAGAGAAAGGAAAAGAGGAGTCGTGTGATATGAGAGAGATAGAGAGAATTTATTAACTAAAAAGCAACGTGATGCATCTAATTTTAAACTTCCTTATTTAGAAAGTGATGCATCCAAAACAATATGGAGGAATTACAATAATGTTCATATCTTTTGCATCAACTCACCCACCCCTCTCGGGATTCTTTTTTTTTTTTTTTTTTCTTTTTTTTGAAACAACTCTGGTTTGCTGTTTTACTACCTTAATATTTGTGGAACTCCATCACACTGACATTTAATAGTTTTGCAATTGCTTGAAAACTTGAATTTTGCTGTAACATGTTCATTCTCTGTCTTTAAAGACAAGGAAGCAACTATAGTATAGACCCTATCCCATCCAGGTTTTAATGTTGTAACTAAAGAATGAAGGAGCTCAGCAGAGCCAAGAACTGCCCAGTTTATGTCTGTGTTAATTTGAGTTGTTCAACTCACTCAGATTGCCTATATATGCTCATATTGTGTAAATTATGAATATTTCATATTTAAATACCATACATTGAACAAAGCTAACAAGATCTCACATGATATGTTTTTTTGTTTTGTATATAATAACAAAAGGCTGTTTTCTTAGCTTGACTCCATTAATATTGAGTAGAACAAAAATTAGAGGTAGTTTTTATTACCAGCCACAGGTATATTCTGTTAACAACTCAAATAGAACAATCAAGGGACATACCAAAATCAAACACGGGATAGTTATAGTAGGACAAGGGATTGGGGGATTTTTTTTATTTTTTTTCGGGGGGGGGGGGGGGGTCAATTTTTCTTTGATTTACATGTGTATAAGTTGTCCTAAGATACAAGAATTATCAGCTTGGACGTGTGGTTCATAGTGCTATGGATATGGAACCATGAATGTTACCAAGGTAGTATGGGGTTGGTACTTGATACCTAATGCCATGTGTTTGGTTTCCTTAAGGAATGTATATGACCCCCTTATTGATACCTAGAGATATGGTATGAGCTAAACCCTGTACCTTATTGGTTTGTGGTACAGGTTTTTAGATAATTTTGTTAACAAAACACGCGGTATGGATTTTACCAATTGCAAATCGAAGTGTGAATTATGAAAAATTGTTAAGAAGTCAAAATGAGAGACAAATACATCATGGTTATTGTTATGGAAAAAAATTAATGTTCTTGAAAGATTGACGAGGAGTCGAGGCTAGTCACCTTGATCTTAATAACCATTAGTACAATCATATCTTTACTTGTTCTTCCCTAATAATTATTTTTCCTTAATCTCTTCAAATTCTCTTCCTCCCAAAAAAAAATAAAAATAAATAAATAAAGTAAAATAAAATCTTCATATTCTCTCTGTTTTGGTCCTTAATCTCTTAAAAAATTAGAAATGAGACATATATAAACCAAGTTGTTCATATTCAAATAAAAAAAAATGAATAACCTTATGTTAATAGTTATATTATTAGTTAATAAATGTAATGAATCAGGCCAACACACCACCTGTTACTCACACTTGGAGAAGGAAGCAGAAAAAAGGGGTAGGCTAACACACCACCATAAGGGGAAGCACTACTTTAATGCTGCAGTAGACAGTAGTTTTTATGTTGGCTTATTAGCTGCCATGTTGACTTTTAGGGATGAACACAAGAATTAGCAAATGCAGCAATTAAAGTTGTACTTTCTTAGCTAAGTAAGTAGTATAAATTGTTAGCAAGTAGTGGAAGGAAGATAGGCAGAAATTTGTATTGGGGAAACCTTAGAGAGTTGTGGCCTAAAGCCATTGTTAGAAAGCTATAGTCTCACGCTATTTTGAAAGTAATAGCCTCACACTAATTTGAAGTAATAACCTAAATCTATAAAACCTATGATTTGTAACCCCCTTTGCGCCATTGTCAATCAAGATTCAAGCTTCCATCTTTATTATTTCTTCTTATTCAATCAATTTACAAAAAGTCTGATTATCTAGTTATTACAACAAAACAATAAATATGTCCAAAGTTAGTTATTCTATGACAAAAGAGAGAACAAAAAGGCATCAATGACTTTGAATTGGTGGTGTTGAATAACTCCAGTAAGCTTGCTGATTTACCTACATTACAACTCCCACAAGTTGCTCCATTTCCTGTTATATGTCTGGTGTACAACTGTTGGATTTTTTCTCATTTAATTATTTTCAATTATGACACATAGGTTCCAAAGACATCAGAGATAGCAGAAGATCCATTGGTTCACCATTGGCAGGACGTCATTGACTGCCTTGATTCATTTCTTAATACACTGAAGGAAAATCATGTATGTGCTTTCATTGAGTCCTTGGAATTGTGGAAAAATTTTCTGCCTTGTCGCTCACGAGTAGTGTTGTATTTGTATCAGGTTCCTAAAGTATATGTACAAAAGATCTTTATACAGATTTTTTCGTACATCAACGTGCAACTTTTTAACAGGTAAGATTCTGCTTTCCTAATAACTGGTCTAGATCACATCTCATGGTGATCTTGATCCATAATTTTAGTCACTAAGAGAATCTGTTGCCAAATATTTTAGGGCAGGAAGCCTGCTTAGAGGTGGGTCTGTGAGTCTTAAGAGATTTAAGGCACAACTTGAACTTAGTGGAAAACTAGTGAAAATATTGATTTCCTACATTAGGAATTTGGAGCATGTAACTAAAAACTAAATTTCTTCTCTCTAAATAAACAGTGTACTCCTGAATCGTGAGTGTTGCACATTCAGCAATGGGGAGTATGTCAAGGATGGGTTGGACAAATTGGAAGCATGGTGTGGGGAAGCTACAGATGAGGTATCTGTATGACAATCTTCAGCGTTAAATAAAATTCATTCTATGTTTTACCATGTTTTATCTGGCTGCTTTTTTAATAAATTTTTTGGGATGACTGTATCTTTGCTACTTGTCCTCTCATGATTTTTGGTTAATGAAACTTAAACTTTATTTCCAACAAAAAAATTTATAATTAAAAAAGGGCTTTACATACACTTTCATCAATGCTGTTTGAAAATTCATTTTATGCATCAGATATTGCCAAAGATATGATTTTGCAAGCAGTAAATTATGAATTTTTTTAGTATTCTATACAAAATATTTACTTTCAAATATTCAGTGTTAGATCTTCTGGATATAATCATATAGACTGTCCCATGATAGAAATCTTTGGAATGTTATGTCCCCATGCTTTACTCATTTTCAAAGATAACCCTATAATTTAAGTTGCCAGGAATCATCTACTGCTGCCAATATCAATTTATTGAAACTGTAAAAATATATTAATATTTGTCAATTGCAGTTTACAGGATCATCATGGGATGAACTTAAGCACATAAGGCAAGCTGTTGGATTTCTGGTAAGTCTATCCAATGCTGTTTTCCCCCCCACAGTTTTACCTTTCTTTTGACTCATTGTCATGTGAAGGTGTGAACTTGTGAATATACAATGGTTCTATTGACTATCTATTGTGAGTGATTTTCCTCAAAAAAAAAAAAATAAAAAAAAAATAAAAAAAAAATAAAAAAAAAAATCTATTGTGAGTGATCTAAACAAATGATAAGCTTATATTTGCACAAGGGCTTAAATCAATTCAACTAGCATTTCTCATACTTTACCCTTTGATTCTGTTAAGTGTTATGTACAACTTTTGCCAAAAATGAATGATTAAGGTTATGTACAACTTTCCATTTTCTTTTCTATTTTAGTAAAACAAAGACTTATATACCCTTACTAAAAAAATCAAATTTGAATAATTAAGTGGGGTGATCCTATTTACTCTCTCCCTTTTTTGAGTGGGATGGTCCCATTTTCTCTCTCCCTCCTAATAAAATCATATTTCCCCACCTTTTTTAAGTATAGTGCGTTTCTGGTGCGGTTGGCCGCACCATGCGTTAGGATGCCAAATCAACAAATGACAAAGTAACCCCCAGACAAAGTAGCTCCTCCCCCTCCCTAATTGACTTAGTAAACCCGACCTAGTAACCCCTGACCTAGTAACCCTTAGTAACCCCAAGTAACCCCAAACTGACCTAGTAACCCCAAGTAACCCCTAACCCACCTAGTAACCCCGACCTAGTAACCCCAAGTAACCCCCGACCGACCTAGTAACCCCCAACCGACTTTGTGACCCCTAGTAACCCCTACACCACTTGTTGCACATTCACTCCCGTACTCACAGCCCCACGCCGCCAACAACCACGCCACCACCTCACCACCAACTGCAATTAGTGTGACAAAGAAGCAAAAAAACGATGTAAATTAAAAAGGTGAAATTCCTAAAAAAAAAAATAAAAAAAAAATAAAAAAAAAATGAAAAGGTGAAAAGAGAGGAGTACCAGAGAAGATGGAGATTGAAGAATGTTAAGCGTTGGGTTTGGAAAAGATGGGTTGTTGAAGACCCCACAAAAGCATGATTTCCTCTTCGATTAATTTCACAAATCCACCATAACACCCTAATTTTACTTTAACATCCTCCTAATCTCACCTTCAAATCTGCAATTCACCACAAAGATGAAGACGACGGCGAAGGTGAAGGTCCGATTTGGCTGATTTCGTTGGCAAAGATGAAGACTAAGACGATGGCGACGGAGGTCTGGTTCGTTTGGAGCTTTCGCCAGCAAAGATGAAGACGAAGACGAAGACGACGACGACGACGGAGGTCTGGGTTGGTTTGGAGCTTCGACAACAGCGAAGACGGCGACGACAATTTATGTTGGAGCTTGGAGGAGAGGAGAGAGAAAATTAAAAAAGAATTATGGTAGGCCGCACGGTACGGCCAGCCCTATACGAAACTTTGTGTTTTAAGTAGGGTGGTCCCATCTTCTCTCTCCCTTATCTTTAATTACTTCCCATTACACTAGTAATCTTTGCCCCTCAAATTTTTCCATGGTTACCGCAAGTCCGCAACCCCCTCCAAAGTTGCACATAACATTTAACGGAGGTAGTATTATACTTGACAAGATTGAGTAGGATGAGTTGAATTGGGATATACATTGCAGCAATAAGTTGACATGACAGTCATACTCTTGTGAGTATCTTTCTTTAATCACTTACTTCATTGATAATATAACCATTAGTCAGCTGTGTTTATAAGGATTTGAGCTTGTACTAAACGGATTTGGTCGGACCATATGCTTTATTTATAATCTCATAATCACTACTTATGGAAATGATCTCTCTCTCTCTCTCTCTCTCTCTCTCTCTATATATATATATATATATATATATATATATATATATATATATATATATCTTTCTCTCCTCATCACATGGGACTACTTCTCTATCTCTCTCCTCTCCAACAAGATTGTACTTCCCTTTCATGTTACACTTATAAAAAAAATGAAGGAAGTATGAAGTTCATTTAAATAGCGTCTCTTTTATTTTAACATTGTTACTAATTCAATCTTATTTCTAATTTAATGATAGTGTTATGGCCTATAATTGTAAATACGGTTGGAGAGAGAGGAGGTGTATGACACAACTGTTGCATAATTCACATTGAACACTATTAGCAAACGGAAAAATATTTGGTGAGTCGGATTTACGGTGAGTTCAATATATATGGTATTAATAATCAAATATCTCACAATAATAATCTAATATTTGACAATAATAATCTAATATCTGACATTAGATTATTAGATTATTAATGTCAGGTATTAGAATTCTCATGTTAGATATTAGATTATTAATGTCATATATATTGGACTCACGGTGAGTCCGGTCTTACGCAAACGTTCTCATTAACAAATTATTTAGAATTACATGAAGAATGTAAAAAATTTATATTCAAATTAAACACTACAACTCAATTGTTTAAAAAAAAAAAGGAAAAAATAAAACCCCTGCTACTCAAACCATAGTCACAAATTCATAACCACGTCCATTGCATAATAAACATGTGAAGAACTTGATGATAACAAATTACAATAACTCAGTACAATTACATAAAAAAAAAAAAAAAAAAAAAAAAAAAATCGCAATCAAATTAACAATGATGTAAAATATAGAACATAACATTTGCAACTAAAATAATAGCACTATTAACTATAAGGTAAAAGACCTATAATACACCCGTGCATCCTAGTCATATGAAGTTTCTTATATAATTGTTGTAGAGTGAGGGCATGTAAAATAAAGTGCGGTTAGAGTGATAGTTGCTTCTAATAAGTATTGTTTCTAGCACTGAATGTCACAACACAAATGACTGTGTTTGATGGTTCATTTTTTCCTTTTGTTTTTGTGTTTGATACTTATTATTTTGCTCTACATATAAAGTTCTTATGATTGAACTTAAGTGTTTGATTCTTGATTATAAATAAATTTAATCTCATTGTTTTTAATGTCTGTCTTTTTATAAGTGAATTTTTAATATTTCATGTAGATGTTTCTTATTTTATCTCATGGTTTTCATAATTTAGCTTTTACTTTGATTTTCAAATATTTATATGGTTTTCATTCTACTCACTTGCGCATTGTGTGCTATATCCAATGTGTATGTTTACTCGATTATATCATTAAATACACATTAGTGTAAATTATGAATTTTTTTTATTTGAATACCCTCATTGAAACGATTCTAAAAAAGGTTCTTTTTTTATAATTTTTAACCTTCACTCCTCCCTCCCAGTATCCCCATCAGTTAATATACTAAATTGGAAAATAATTCCGGGTCATTCAGATTTCAGGTTCGGGATGGGGATATAGATGTGGTTCGAATCCTGTCACCTTGATGTGATGGGCTGATGTGCACAAACCCGTAGGCTATAAGGCCGACGAAAAAAAGCACATTTTTCATTAATTCACAAGAGAAATGAAGCAAATATATAGTACCGAAGGAAGTAATACTAAAATTTCCTAATAGTAAGAATTAGAAAGATATAATTAATTTGCATGTTATATGTTTTGTCCGAAATTGTTTTGAAAAGCTTATTTATTTGAACTACTTTATTCTAAAATAATTCAAACAGAACAAGTTATTAGATTGCTGCTTCCTAAGGGAATAGTGGAAGTATAGGTCTTTTTATTTATATTTAAATCAATTTAGGTCCTTTCAAAAAAAAAAAAAAAAAAAAAAAATCAGTTTAGGTCCTTCATTTTTATCTGTTCTTCAATATCTTAGCTGAAAGGGCTTGGCGATTGGCCACCTCACCAACTCTTTCCATCAAGTTGTTTCTTAAGAGAAGGTCTGAGGGCTGTAAATTCTGATAAACCCTCATGCTGCTGTCAATAATAACAAGAACAATCGTTACAAAGTGCAATAACTAGAAACTGGGCATTAAGCAACTGGCCATCTTGTTTGAATGAACTTGGCAAACATTCTGTCTATGCATTTATGATACTCTTCATGACAGTGAACAAACTGTGATATTGTATGTTTTTTGCTTTTTTGGTCCATCACGATTTTATGTTACAACATATATTCATTTACAAGCTTCTACAAGGCCTAGCAAGCTCTTATTGTTACATAAATTATGTCAACATCTGTTCCTCATTATGTGGCTTGTAAAAAATTCCGCATTGCTGGCCTTCTTGTTTCATTGGTATGCGGTCTTGTAATTTTATAAAATGGAAATAATGACCTAATTTTTATATTTTCAACAATAGGTTATAAACCACAAGGGGAGGATCTCCTTTGAAGATCTTACAAGCGATCTGTGCCCTGTAAGTTTCTTTCTTCTCCACTGTAGGTGTAGGTTGCAAACTTGCAAATGGAAACAGAAACCCGATGCTCTAAAACTGGAATCATATTTTTTTAACTAATGCAAAATCCCGTTATCAATTTAGCATTTTGCCTAGGTGAGGAAATTAGCTTTAATGGGTGCAAATTATTGCACGAGTCAGGGATTGGTGATGAAATTGGAACAAAGTACTCAGCTCCCCATAATAGATCAATTCTTTGTTTAGAGCTACATAAATTCCAAGTTAAAAGAATAATCACCTCACTCAACTTCATCCATCTAGGGTGCACAGAGTAAATGTAAAACTTTATTTTCTTTCTTTGTTATGCTATGGATGTCTGTAGAGGGCAATCTTCATCAATATAATTTGCCTTTTCTGAACATTTGAGATATCACATAAAGAATCAAGATATGATTGAAAACTTAATTGTAGTTTCTACCTGTATTCAAATTTTACTAACTTTGATATTGTATTTATTTTCAGCTATTGAGTGTTAAGCAGCTATATAAAATATGTACAACATACTGGGATGATGATTATAACACCACTAGTGTTTCTCCAGATGTAAGCCCATAAGCTTTTATAGTCATGATACTCTATCGTTGCTTGTCCTTTAGTGTAACTGTGTATGGCACGATTCTGCTTTGGATTTTCACAGGTCATTTTAAGCATGAAGACATCAATGCCTGGAGAAAATGAGGGTGAAATGGACAGTGATAAAGGCTGTTCATTGCATGATAATTCCAGGTGAAAAGAGAGAACACACAGAAATCACTTTTCTTCCTTCAGTAGCCAATTCTAAACTTTTGATAATATGTTTTTACTGCAGCATACCCCTTCCTGTTGATGACCTATCTCCTTCTCCGGATGAGAGAGATTTTGCTGGTGTGAAGCCACCACCTCTGTTACTTGAGAATCCAGATTTCCAGTTTCTACAGGAGTGAGGCTGAGATGATAAGTATCTACAGCGCTTGTCTGCTTCACCTAATGAGCTCAAACTAACCCAAGTGTAAATTCATCATTCACACATAAAGGTTGTCCCTTGTCCCATTTTTCTTCTAAAGTAGTGCAACATTCATTTCCCTAGTTGTAAATTTACTATCACTATGTGATATACATAGATTTAGGCTTCTCCTCATCATCAATGATTGTATGGACCCGGGATGTTTTGATTTCTTCGACTCTGCCCCAATAGTCGTCCAAATTTTTTATTTTTTGATAGAAGTAGGATACTTATGTTCGATGTAGCATGGTGAGAGAAGTTGTGATGATCTTCCTCCCATTCTTTGGTGTGGTAATACAGAGAGGAAATCTTTTCAGGTTTGTATGTATAGTTTTATTGCAAGGTGTACCTCTAATGATTTGTATGTACAGTTGTATTCAAAGGTGCACATCAAAATCAATGGAAAAAATATTCATCAATGCCAAATCTTCTTGCATTTCTGCATTTCACTAATAATAGTTTTTGTAAATTGGCTGAACTCTGAATTTCTTACCTCCTTTTTGGAAGCATTGTTTCATCTATGGATTTTTATTTTTACGTTCTGTTTGGATAAAAGTGTAAGTGGATACAAGTATAATAAATTTTTTTTTTAAAAATAAAATAAAATAACAGCCCAGTCCAGCTACCCTCCCATGCGGTGGCGTCTCATGTCGCCCCTCCCCCTACAAAAAACTTCATTTGCAAAAATCACATAAGAAATTGTCATCGGGTAGTGCAGACAGTGCTATACTGCTATGACAGTGGAAATACAGAAAGCAATAAGAGCACTCAAGAAGTCAAGATTAGTCGAGGAGGTAGTGTTAGTCCAACTCAAAGAGAATCACCCTTGATGTTGGAATAGTAGATTTGACGTTTTGTTGTAGTCTTACTAACAACCATTGTAACATCTGCTTTCAATAATCCAGCAGTTGGGGTAACATACAATATACATGGAGATGAATAAACACAATATATATGTTTTTGAGTTATGGCAGGGTAACCCAGGCTTCACATACAGTGTGTATTGGAAGTAAGTATTAGTACTTTTGTTGTGGATCTTTGTGGTGAAAGAAATGTTATCTAGAGTATATACAAATAATACAAAGTACAAGTAGTTGTTGAGCTACTTCATATTTGCCACAATTGGTAAGTAGCATATGTTTGATGAGTCAACATTTATCATAATATAGCAAGTAAAACCAAAACTCAGCTGCTAATTTATCATTATCGGAATTATACAGTGTGCAATGGCTATCCCCAACATGGTCACTTGGTCAGTGTATCGTCATTCCTCGTTTCAATCAGTCCCAAAATAGATTGGAATTACAACTTCTACGTTAATTGTAGGTGATACAAGAAGTATATATAACCTTATTGGTACAATTCTCAAATGGTCAGTAATAGAAATTTCTTGATCGAGTCCTAGAAGCTCTATCCTGATACAGAAGAGCATTAATACCGTAGTCTAGTGCCAAAATTTTGTCAGACTCTAATAGTGTCCGAAATAATTAAGGCTCATTTTTATAGAGCAATACATGATTTGCCCTGAGGTTGATCTCCTACAAGCCAAAGCTAACCTAACTGTATTGCTGCGGATCTTATTTACATTGGATAAGCGGAACACCATCATTTCTCCAAATTATTGGGTCTTCACATAATGCTGCAACTACATCCACATATAATTGATGCTCCTGTAAAAAATTAAGGATTTTGCATAACATATAAAACAGATTTATCTGAGCAATACATTTGTGTAGATACCTAAAAATGTCTCCCCAAAACCAAACCCGATGATGAACAACCTTTCACCGCCATTATTGGTCGGGTTGAGTATTTAATATTGGAGTGTTTAAATCCATATTTCCATTTTATAATATAACCCAACTTCTAGCCCATTTCCCCAAACCATAACTTATTTTCCACTTTTCGCGCCTTTCAACCCAAAATAATTCATTTCGTGTCCTTTAAAATCATTCATTTCGTGTCCTTTTTATAAAAACGTTTAATCCAGTTTATTTTGGTCAATAATCTGGGTCCAATGATTAAATAGTTGGATGGGGCTTGGAAAGCTTTCCAACGATATATTATAAGCCCAAATCCGAGTTATAACGAATAAGTTATGGCCAAAATATTAAACTGAGCCCAAACCAAACCTATGCCCACCTTACCTACGACCCAATGGTCATGTGGAGGGTCCAAATTATTTAATCCCATTCCTAATAAACCAATTAGGATTAATTAGAAGCTTCTATAAGTTTCTAAAAGATCCTAATTATCCTTTTTGAAAAGATAAGATTACAGAATTTGAAATTGAATAAAACCTTTCTTTTTGAAAATCCTATTTTATCCGAATTGAAAGACATTCAAAGATAGACAGATATTATTTTCGTGCCTCATAGTTTTTATCCAAATTTTATATGGTTGGATAGCCCTTAAAATTATCTTTCCAATGATATATTATAATATCAATTCCGAGCTATAACGGAAAAGATATGAATAAAATGTCAAACTCTATCTAAAACTGACACCGTCTCACTATTTCGTCCATATCTTTTATTCTACAAAATATTTTAATCTGATTCTAATTAGGTTAGAAAGTAGACTTCAAGAGCTTTCCAACAATATTTTATTCATTTTATTCCGATTTCTGGATCAAAAGATATGATAAAAACAAAAACCGCAAAAACTGTTGTCTATCGAGTTTTATTCCGATTTAATTCGGATCTTATCTTAATTTTTCAACGCTTCTTTTTTCCCTATAAATAGAGGTCATATCACCCCTTTTCCAAAAAAAAAAAAAAAAAAAAACAAGCTTGATCATAAAATAATTACCTTCTCCCTTTTTAGCCTAAATACTAGCCACCCTATTCTCTCAAAATACTTCCCCTAATTAAGCACTCCAAGGAGTTCATACAATACCCAAAGTTCTATACTTAAACCAAGGCGTGATAGGTATAATTAACTGAGGATTTGGACCAAATCAAATCTAATCTTTATTTAACTTAATTTTTATTTGATTTATATTTTTATTGAAGTTACTAACAGTTTATTCATGATGTAGCAATTCAAGGAAGCGCGGAAAGTGAGTAGTTAATCGCTTAATTACTCTTATTTTTATTCTTGTTGCTAGAATCATGATTAGGTTTATTATTTGATTTGACTAACGATCGATATTATTGTTGAATTGCTTCCAATATTAATGTTTATTCTATTGTTATTATGATCACCATATTGCATGTTTAAAGGGAATATGTAATTGAAAATCACGCCTAATAAGATAATTTGGACAACCGGTTTAGGATCCTTTTTGATCTTGTTGTTTAATCAAGTGATCACAATATTTTAGAATTATATGTTGCATTAATATTCAACCAATTTAGCTTAATAATAGTTTGGGGAGACCTTTTATTACAAAGGCAATACCCGAAGAATTATATGTAATTGAAAATCACGTCCATATCTTTTGTTTGTATGCCTTTGAGATCGCAGGAATCACTTTTCACTATAAGAATCGAGTAGAGGCCAATACGGGCGAATGTGACTCCATGACTCACTTCGTACCATCATCCCCGATCCTCCTTTCGTGGTTCCGAACCATATGGAGTTAGTAATCTCATGGATTATGAATGGGGTGTAACCTTCACGGGTCAATCGTTGTTGCCTATCGTTGTCCCTTTATCGTGGTTGCCTTTTATGATCCGTGAACGGTTTACAAGTTCCTTAAAAAACTTGTTGGCGGCACCCTACTTTCCTTGTCCCTAATCGTAATATGTCAATTCCCACTTCCTATGAGTGCCAAGAATATTCACCACGTGCTTTTTACGTAGGCGCACTTCGAACGACGCCTACAATATGAAATCAAGAGACTCTTGAAAATCGACCATGCAGGTTCAAAGCTGTAGACGTAAACTTTGGTTATTTGGATATAATTACACTTGCAATTACGAATCATTACCCTTCTTGCAGACTAACTTTGTAATAAAGTCCCTCGAGTTAACATTACCTCATGCAGAACCCGAGCTGACAACTCCTCTGGAGTGTCAGAAGCACACACAGGAACGATTTGCTGGGCAAGGATCTGACCAGTGTCATATTTCTGGTCTACAAAATGGATAGTAGGACCAGAGTATCTGGACAAGAAAAGAGTATTTAAGAAGACTATTGTAATCTTAAAGTCAGATTCCTAAGATAAACAAAACACTTGCACTTCCCTTTAGAGTTATACTAAAAACAACTGGCTAAAATCAAGGCACGATGATTTACTATTGCCACATATCTGGGTTATGTATTGACATATTGTGAACCAACATAATCCAGGGCAAATTTAAAGTGGAAATCAAGGGACAAAAGGTATTTTTTTGACACAACCATCTCACATCAAATATCTTAATTTTAGTAAATGGACCATTCTCATCAGCTTTTGATAGCACCCACTTAAAAACAGCAGTGGCGTCGATATTTAAAGTGTACAGCAGTACAGGCAGCTGTCTTGAAAACGCTTATCAGATTCCTCTTTCTTTCACGATGATCTAATGTGTAATTTAAATGTGCCAAAAACTAACAAATGCAATCTAAATTCTACAGCTTTTGCACTATAAGTACTAAAAATCACGAGGAAACTACAATATAATTCCTGATGGGCAATATTACCTTGCTCCAGAAGCAATAACTGCTTTATGAACCTTGAGCCCATAATAGCCTTTGCCTCCAAAAGCTGGTAGGAGTGAAGGATGTATATTTAGTATACGCTTAGGAAAATGTCGAACCAATTCAACTGGTATAAGAAGGCCCGATTAAGGCCCTGTTCAAACAGCCCCTCAGCACAGGGTCTCATAATTTTGAGGGCCCCTATTTTCAAAGCCCAACCCAGCCATAAGAAGGAACAAAAAAAAAAAAAAAAAAAAAAAAAAAAAAAAAAAAAAAAAATCTGATTTAGGCAAAGAAAAGCTGAAAGTCAGCCTCCTCCATTTACTCCCATAAATAATCAGTTATCTAGATTCATCTTCCCATACTTCGTGAATTGTTCCAACCTACAAATTTCTGAAATATTTTTTTCCTAATTTTCTATCTTCCCTTTTAATTCTTCCTATTTTCTCATTTAATTTTATTATTTTACCCCCAAATTATTCAATTTCCATATTTAACGCTTTGCCTTCTATCAATTACAACGGGTCAAATCTTGAATTGCTTTCAAGGAAAAATTGATTTCATGTTTTGTACAATTAAACCCCTTAATTTTTGTTTATCAAGTAGTTAAATTTTTTACCCCTAAAAATTTCTTTTCAATCTCCTATTTTCTTCAATAACCTTTGTTATCATATAGAAATTATATTTCAGAATTAAAAAAAAATTAAATTAAGATTCATAGTAAATTAGTAATAATAATAAATTGGGCATGAGCTAAGTGGTTAACAAGAAGTCAAGAAGATGCATGCCATGGAGTTGCTGAACTGATTTAGTGAGTGGCGAAGTGGGTTGCGGGAAGACGAAATTTGGCAATTAAAGTTGCGGATTTTTATTTTTATTTTTTTTATCGCAAGTTCTAAATGCAGTACAAAATAACCTAAATGCAGAAAATTAATTAATGATATGAAAATTATCAAAAGACAAAAATAGCCTTTTCCAAATAAAAAAACTTATTTGCCATTTCACTAGGCTTTTATTTTTTACATTTTTTATTTTGCAATTCATTTCACTTGCCAATTTTTTCCATTTCATTCACCATTTCAGTCATTTTTTTTTTGACAATTCATTTCATTTCACTATTTCCCTCAAAATTCTTCAATCTGAGCCTTAGCGACGAAGAAGTCGTTCACTGCTCATAAACCATCT